AATCTGCTGTATACCAGTTTGATATGTACAATCCCATGTGAGAGATAAATCTGCTGTATACCAGTTTGATATGTACAATCCCATGTGAGAGATAAATTTGCTGTATACTAGTTTGATATGTACAATCCCATGTGAGAGATAAATCTGCTGTATACCAGTTTGATATGTACAATCCCATGTGAGAGATAAATTTGCTGTATACTAGTTTGATATGTACTATCCCATGTGAGAGATAAATCTGCTGTATACTAGTTTGATATGTACAATCTCATGTGAGAGATAAATCTGCTGTTTACTAGTTTGATATGTACAATCCCATGTTAGAGATAAATCTGCTGTATACTAGTTTGATATGTACAATCCCACGTGATAGATAAATCACTCTTACATTGAAAATTTTAATATTTTGATTAAATCAACAATTCTCAATAAATCCAGCAAGATTAATCTCTGATGGAATTAACGAATTTCTTCGTTAAAATTACACTTCTGACTAAAACACGTAGAATATGATTGGTAAGGAGGAGAATTCTATCTTCCTGCGGTAGTTTGATGACGACATTTTGATCTCCTAGCACAGACTTTCATCAGCTGTAAGATCTGGCGATCTTTACATATGATTTAGTGATCTTGAAGAAGTTCCTTGTTAGAAATAAAACTTATGGTTAAAACACACAGATAGTATCTTTCTATCGTTAATACGAGAGTGTATGTTTTTTAAAACCCTATCGTAGTTTACTGGCTATATTTTTTATGTGAAGTTTGCATTCACAACTATTGCATATGTAATTTAGAATCATTCATTTGGACTTAAAGCATTTTGTAGATAGTTTTTGAAAAATAAAGTTGCAGAGGATCCTACCGCGAAAATCAATTAGAATTGAAAATAAAACAACTTTCTTTTTCAAATTAGAAAATACAGTTGATCATTTTGGCCATCTTCTTGTACAATGAAAGCATCAAACTTCAACTGACACACACAAGGTTTCAAAATAAATGTAAATTAACACTAACATTAATATTTGTTTTTAAATCACTTACGGGCTTACAACGCTAGAAACCGGGTTTCAATACCCGTGGTGGGCAGAGCACAGATAGTCCATTGTATAGCTTCGTGCTTAATATTAAACAATAAATCACTTATCAACGTTAATTTCATTACGTATAGTTTTATATTACTTTTCCAGAGTGATAGCCCCCCGGCAGGTCAGCAGTAAGTTTAAGAACTTAAAATGCTAATATCTGGAGTTAGATTTCCAGCGCAGATGTAGCTTTACGTTAACAAAACACCAATGTGATGTCTGTTATATGTACAATGCTCATGAATGTAAGTGGAAGGTCTGGAGCGTTCCCTAAATCTATTCCTCATGAATGTAAGGGGGAGGTCTGGAGTGTTCCCTATATCTATTCTTTAGTTGCATCCTATTCCAACTATGTCGAAATTATTATCTTGACAATTATATTTATAAATAATTGTATGGATCTGTATAAGTTGTTTTATAGTTTTTATACAAATAAAACTATTAATTTATGTTTCAAACCCATCTCCAAATGTTAATAACATCTGTAACATATCCATCGCCTCACCCAGTGATAAGTTTGATGGATCATTTTGCATTTGGTAACAAAGAAATCCATCTGGTGCTAAATTTCACGTTATATTCATATACTTTTTCTTCAATAATTATATTTTCATGATTGTCATTTTAAAATTTCTTTTTACACTATTTTTTTTCTTAGCTTCTGGTTTAAGAAAATGACAGTTTTCAAAAACTTTGGAAATAAACTACATTTCTTTCTGTAGATTATTTTTACTAAATAACCGGACGATTTGTTTGTTTGCGAGTAAGCGTATAACTACATAATGGAGTATCTGTGCTGTGCCCATCACGAGTATTGCAATACGGTTTTCAGCAGTGTGAGTCCGCAGGCTTGTCGCTAAGCCACTGGGATCTTAATTTGGAATGTTATGTTGTTGTTACACGCAATGGTCCCAATTATTTATTGTAACTTGCAAGCCGATCCTCACTTTATGTAACTGTAGTTGTGATAGGATTCACGATATATAACTGCTAAAACCGCCTGTATTTCTGTTTATTTCAAAAACTAAATATTTGTTTTCTCTCAGTATCTTTTATACCTGTTTATTTGTAGTTAAGCACAAAGCTACACAAAGGGCTATCTGCGCTCTGCCCACCACGGGTATCGAAACCCGGTTTCTAACGTTTTAGGTCCGCTGACTTACCGCTGTGCCACTGGATACTATTTATAAATCATAAAAATGTTTGATAAAAAAAACGTAGCCTGACCATTGTGTAGATAGATGTTCAACCGTTTCTATTGCTGTATTTTTTTTTTTTACGTTAATTACGTACAGTTCACAGAGCCCTAGAGTTAACGACCCAGCGGGTTAGCGGTAAGTTTATGGGCTTATATTGCTAAAATCTGAGGTTCAATTTCCCTTAGTGAGCATAGCGCAGATAGCCTATTGTGTAGTTTTGCGCTAAATCCATCGAACCAACCAACCAACGATCTATGTCTCTGTAGTATATATTGTGGAAATTTTTCTTTAAATATTAATCAATGCTAGATTAACTGTTGTTTCGATGTATATTGATACGACATCAAAACCGTATATTTTTTTGTTTATGATCTAAGCTATTTAAAATAGTTTTAAATTCAAAAGAATTTGTATTTGTTTTGTAATGGTGTTATTAAATAAACGAGTAATTTAGATAATTGTTAGTTATAACTAGAACAGGTTGAAATTTCAATGGCATCTTTATGTACTTTCTGAGCGTCATAAAGACAGGGAGCGGGTACATTACAGTAAATGTTGAACTTGTATAAATCTCCGTTTACTAATTTTAATTTTAAAAAGTAAACTGTTTAGTCGCTTTTCATAACAATAATTTAAATCCTTATTTATTTTTTAAATTCTGAATCATCATTTAACTTGACAATACATTAGTTGTTCATAGTATTCAATTTCCCTCACGACTGATTTTTCTTCATTTGTTCTTAAAATCATAATTATTTGGTTATTTCTCAAAGCTTCTATTTCTTAGTTAGTATATTCTTGTTCAATTTTATGGGGATTAAGCAAGAAAATTCATATTCTACAGAAAATTTGATTTAAATGCTGATTTAAATCTTCATTTTTTAAGGAGTTTTGGAAAAGCAATTCATCAATGTCGTTAGATGTCCTGTATTCTTTTACTGTTTTGTTTGGATCTTCTTCAGTCACTTATGTGTTGGAAACTTTGTAGTTGTTCTTTAATGAAAAGAGTTTTTACCCACACTAAACCGTTTTATTTTACATTTTACATGACAGTTGTTTGTGTTAAAATATGAAAACATTTTTGAAAAAACAAACAAATGTAAACCTGAAAAATTGAAGCCATCTGAAACTTAACTAAAGTATTAAAAACTTTGTATTTTTGGTGATGACGTTTTGATCTCGTAGTGCAGATCTTCATCACCTGTAAAGTGAATATCTAATGTGAAGATAAAGTGGGATTAAGAGATCTTGATGAAGTTTCTTGTTAGAAAAAAAAATTAAATCATACAGAGCGTCTTCCTATCATTCACACAACAGTGAATCTTTTTTAAAAATCTATCACAGTTTATGTCTACATTTCTTACATAAAGTTTTAATTCACAATCATTGCATAGCTAGTTTTAAATCATTCATTTTAAGATATTCTGTAGAGAGTTGTTTGTGTTATAACATGGAAACGTTTGAAAAAAAAGGAAAAAGAATCTACCTGAATTTTGGCGAGAGTTTAAACACTTTGCACAAGATTTTTTAAAAATTCCTTGAGGGTATGATTTCAGGAACAGGATAAAATATTACATTTTCACAGTGGTTTCATATATTGAACCGGTACATACACATTCACAACCTGAAGCCAAAATGTAATGTTATTACATGTGCTAATTACCATTTTTAATTAAGTGTAAGTTTTTTTATTAACTAAATGTGTTTACTACTTTTCACACTATTTATTTAAAAAGAACTGCTTAGATTTTTTTCATATTTTGTTTACTATTGAAGTGGGTATTGCTAATAGTGACTCTTACTGAAATTGCTATAAACAAAATAAAATTAATTTGGCCTAAAAAACAGAAATGTGAAGTTGCTTTATTTTTCTTTACAAAAGAATGCTCTTATATTTATCATGTAGTTGTTGTCTTTTTGTAAACACAGCTGCATAGCTACTTTAATAATTTGTTTTTACATTCCAAATAAATAAAAGAAATTATTTCTGAAATATGAAATGGAATCAGATATATATATATATATATATATATAAATCCTTAAATGATGAAAAATCCACCAAAATCTGTTATTTAGCTAGGCCTAAACAAAGGTCTTGAATGTGGAATTTATCATTTTCTACTGTCTTTGCAATCAGAGTTCACGTAGTTCTCCTTTACTGAAAAGGAATAAACACACCCGGTCAACTACAAATGAAGCTAATAAATCCACTCCGAGGACTTGGAGTAATTCTCCTTGGAACTGAAACAAAACAGAAAAAAAATTTAACTATATGACCATATAATACAGGAAAAAACAGAAACATAAGGTTGTTAGTGTTTTATAAGAATAAAAGGTTTTGTGGTAATTTAGGAAATACCCCATTGATGACCACACTCATTCTGATGGCCATGATTATCCACTCTTGCCCTGACTGCACAATTTCTATTGAACAGGGAAGAGAATAAAAAAAAACTCTAATTTGAGAGTTAATGGTAAAAATTACAGCTTTGTTCATCATTTGAACATATAAAGTTGTAAGTACTAAGTTTAACTTGTTTCCTGTAGCTATTTAAATTTTGGCCATCTGAATTGTTGTTGTAAGTGCTAAGTCTAAGCCATCTTATTTGTTGTTGTAAGTACTAAGTCTAACTTGTTTCCTGTAGCTATCTAAGTCTTGGCCATCTAAGTTGACCCACAGGAACTCCTAAACAGCCATATTGTGAATTAATTGCATTCTTCATAATGTTATAAATAAACACAAAAGTACCAATTTGAAAATTTTAGCCCTAAGATTGATTTATGTAGTTTTATCTATCCAAGATTCCACTTTGTGACTTTTCTTGAAAATTGTAATAAAAACTGTTATATAATGAATGAACTGTATCTACCCATGTACAGTCACTTTGACTGTTTTGTTTGTTTGTTTTTGAATTTTGCGCAAAGCTACACGAGGGCTATCTGCACTAGCCATCCCTAATTCAGCAGTGTAAGACTAGAGGGAAGGCAGCTAGTCATCACCACCCACCACCAACTCTTGGGCTACTCTTTTACCAATGAATAGTAGGATTGACCGTCATATTATAATGCCCCCATGGCTGAAAGGGGCGAGCATGTTTGGTGTGACAGGGATTCGAACCTGCGACCCTCAGATTGCGAGTCGAGGGTCCTAACCACCTGGCCATGCCGGGCCTCAGTCACTTTGAGGTAACTACAGCAGTTACAGCATGAAATAAGGCTTTTCTTAAACATATCTCCTTATCTACATCATCAAGCAAATTTCTAAGTGTTTTGTATGGAAGTACTGGGATCAGTCTTAGTTATTATAGGCCTAACTCTACTGTTCATATGTCAAGAGTAATTTTTTAGTTTCCTTAATAAATCCAGAAATTAATAAAAATTGAAGAATCTTCAAAAAGTGCTAATGACAGGCTTTAAAGTATGTTTTACTTGATAGACAATTACTGGCATATATTTCCTAATTTAACTATTTTTAAGCTTTTTTCAATATGTAACTAATATTTTCTTCCATCACATGATTAATTTTTCTCACCTCTTTCCCTAATTTCAAAGGAATTTCTTTAAGTTGATTGACAGAGAGAGAGAGAGAAAAAAAAGAGATATTCAAACAATATTGAACTAACTTTGAAGCAGTTGTCACTTACTTTTCTCAAAGTTTTAAGAAAACTTGTCAAGTTTCCAGTTTATTACAAAGAAATACATTTAGTTTTGAGTTATTACTCGGCTATTGAAATAATTACCATTCATTTATGATCTTGCTAAATGTATAAGAAGATAATTGCAATTGACCATGACTGAAAAGATGTCATTACACCTAAGCATCTTTAGTAAGTTTTTATGTTTAAGTGATTATGACTCAAGTTTAACACTCAGGCTTTATGCTCAATGAAGTTTAAAGGAAGAAAACTTTGATTTTTGGAAACAGATCATACACACAGAGGTTATTTTCTTGAGTTGTTAGAGCTCTAAAAACATGAAAAACAACAACACACAACTGGCTAAGAAAGAGGGCTTAAGCGGTTTTAAAAACTATCTGGGTGTGCCAGAGCTATTTTCTCGAGCCCTTAGAGTTTTTACAAACCTGAACAAAAACAATTGGTTAAGAGTAAGAGACAGCCTAAGTATTTATAAAAACTGATAAGATGCTGTAGAAAGTTCCTTAGGTTTAAATTACTTTAATTCTATATAAAACTTGAGATGTTTCACATTTATCTCTTTGTAAACAGAAAACTAGAAACACTTACATCTTTAGGAAATTCTACAATTTCAAATTGATTAGAAAAATCTGGCATCATTCCTTTAACTAAGACAAGGATAGCCAAGCCAGATATTCCAAGGCTGTACATTAATGGTTTGTTCTCTGTCAAGCTTTCCATAAACGGATGGCCCTAGGAGAGGAAACATTATGTTATTAGCAAGCTGAATGAATAGTTGAATGTAAGTGATTAATGAGCCATATGATTAATCAATTATCAAATTCCACTAATCACTCAGCTCTAGTAGAAAGAAGACAGAATTTATGACACCTACAATCATACAATCTCTTTAAATTGTTTGTTTATTTTGAATTTCGCGCAAAGCTACACGAGGGCTATCTGCGCTAGCCGTCCCTAATTTAGCAGTTTAAGACTAGAGGGAAGGCAGCTAGTCATCACCACCCACAGCCAACTCTTGGGCTACTCTTTTACCAACGAATAGTGGGATTGACCGTCACATTATAACGCCTCCACGGCTGAAAGGGCGAGCATGTTTGGTGGGACGGGGATTCGAACCCGCGACCCGCAGATTGCGAGTCGAGCTCCCTAACCACCTGGCCATCTCTTTAAAATAGGTAAAGTTTTGCAATAAGAAAGGTAAACAACTTGCAAATTTTTCTGACCTCAAGGTACTATTTATAATATGATCTTAAATATTAAATCATAGCCTCTAACAATATCAGTAGAAAATATTATAAAATGCTAACTTTACTTCAGATACAAGTTGCTGAAATTATGATAGCAAAAATTTTTTACCTTTTATTTAAAATATTGTCAAGAACTTGAAATTAAATGTTGTCCAATTTATTTCATGAAGGTTAGACTCAGCTTATGACTTTCTATGCATTGTACTATTATGCTTAAATATATTAATTTTCTGTTGGCTTGTTTCATTTTCTTTTCTGAAGTTATTCTTAATTTTTTTCAAATTCTTAAAATTTGTCTTTAAAAAGCAATAACAACTTTGAGTAATTATAAGTAAAGATTCATTAAGATAATTTTTATACAGTTTTTTGTAATATCACTTGAGAAACTACATAATCATATACTTTTATGACAAGAAGAATTATTGATCTTTACATTATTTCATCAAGAATGGTCAATAATTATATGGTGTGTCCAGAAATTATTGAACCACCTTATAAACTGAAGTGAATGCAAACTATGTAAGATAACCAATTAGCAGTTTGTGATATAATGGAGACTAACACCAGTGGCACAATTAGTATAGTGTCAATGTGATAATCGATATCTGCTTGTATACGTTTCAGTATCTCTGGAGTAATTATTATATCTGCATTTACAGCAAAAAAGTGTCAAGGTGATAATCAATATTTGCTTCCACAAGTTCCAGCACTTCCAGTGTAATTATTATATCTGCATTTACAGCAAGAAGGTGTCAAGGTGACAACTGATATTTGCTTGTATACGTTCCATCATCTCTGAAGTAATTACTGTATCTGCATTTACAGAAAGAAGGTGTCAATGTGATAATCGATATCTGCTTGTATATGTTCCAGCACCTCCGGAGTAACTGTTGTATCTGCATTCCTTCTTTGAACATGCAATGCTGTGCTTCACCTTATAGATAATCCCCATCTAACCTAGTAGGGAAAAAACTTCAGACATTAGTCTTCCACACATCACAAAATGTGACTGTTAATCTGGTGTGGTTCATTATCTGTTCAATTAAAAAACTGGTTCAATAATTGTTGGACACTCTATAAGTCAATGATTGTTCATAAAAACTAGACTAACCCTGTAATTAATTGCAAATGTTGACACTTGCAAGGCCACAGAAATAATGTAGACAGTGCTGTTAAGTAAGTTTGGCTTGAACTCTTTCTCAAGGTCTGGAAACGATTCCTCTCTGCCATTAATAAAATATCCATAATGTAGTGAAAAAACGTCAAAATTAAAAAAACCCACAGATGTATAAACAAGTAAACTGCTCAAATATATATATAATTTTAAAAGTTTCTTAAAGAAAGCTATAAGAAAAGGTATCTTAATTCAATATTATTAAACATTTAAATTACTCCTTTTGCAAAATGATGATGATGGAGTCAAAATTACACCAATGGAATTCACATAATAATGAAAATTTTAAATTACAATGTTGTTATAAATAGGAAATTTATAAGACACAAAGCAATACAATAAATGATATATGTACAGAATCTTTAAAAGATTAGAATTGACAAATCTTGCATCATAATATTATCATAATTTATATCAGTTTACTAAATCGACATCAGAAAAACACACCAATCTTTGTCACACTGACTAATTTATACTAATAACATTTTATTCAAAATAAAAATGGAGAAAATGTAGACTTTAATTCAAAACAAGTTCCTTCCACCATCCTAGAATACTACTCAAGTCAAGCTCCTTCCTTCATCTTGGGATACTGCTCAAGTCAAGTTCCTTCCACCATTCTAGGACACAACTCAAGTCAAATTCCTTCCACCATTCTAGGACACTACTCAAGTCAAGTTCCTTCCTAGAACTTTAGAATACTATGTAAATGGGTATGGGTCAAAGACCTTTTCAAGACCTTTTACAGTTTCATTCAAAATGTAATTAAATAATTTCATTATCAATGTATGTCAGTAAACTTGACATCAAAACAAGTTCTTGTCAGTTTTAATTTCTTATTTTAAAAGGAAAATATTTAGATAAATTGTCAATCCTCACTTCCCAGCTCTGAATTCTCTTTTTGATTTTCTTTCTTCTCCTATAACATAACATAATGTTTTGGGACAACATGAGACCTATTGGTCCATCTCGGCTGTTCCACCCTCTAAACTAAATTAAAA